CCTGTCTCCATCTGTCTCCTACAGCCCCTGTCTCCATCTCTGCCCCTAGTCCCTGTCTCCATCTGTCTCCTACAGCCCCTGTCTCCATCTCTGCCCCTAGTCCCTGTCTCCATCTGTCTCCTATAGCCCCTGTCTCCATCTCTGCCTCTAGCCCCTGTCTCCATCTGTCTCCTACAGCCCCTGTCTCCATCTCTGCCTCTAGCCCCTGTCTCCATCTGTCTCCTACAGCCCCTGTCTCCATCTCTGCCTCTAGCCTTCCTCCCTGTCCCTATCTCTGGGACTCTTTCGCATCTCTCTCAGGAGAGCAGCAGTCAGTCTGGGGGCTGGCACTGAGTCTCCCAGCCAGGGGCAACCTCAGGACAGGACCAACCTGATCTTGGTGTGACAATCTGAAGAGGTGGAAGAGGAGGGCTGAGGGCAGACAGGGGAGGGAGCCAAGACCAAACAGGAGACAACCAGTAGACAGAGTGGCACCCCAGGTACCTCTGCTCACTAGTCCTGGGGGCCTGGGCCACCCTCCCAGCTCACAGCCTTGCCGGGGGCCCAGCTGACCCAGCCTTCCCACAAAGTGATTCCCAGGATGCCAGGGTGTGTTTTCTTGATCTTTTCTAAATAGGCCCCCGCCACACACTTGGAGCATTGGTCAGATCCCCTCAGCCTCTAGGAGTGCCCTAGCCTGTCGCTGTGCACCTGGGAAGGCCCTAAGCACTTGCTTGAATTTGGTACAGGACATGATTGGCAACTTAAATGAGTCATCTCAGTGACCCAGCCAGCCAGCAAATCAGCCAGGCAGTCAAGACAGCCAATTAGCCAATCAGACAGCTAATCGATTACAAGAATATTGTCCCCATCAAGAAAGCTCATAGTCTCATAGTCTCCTGAGCTGGTCAGATAACAGTCAATAAGCTAGTTGGGCAGTCAGCCAGCGGGTCAGTCAGTCAGAGTCAATTAGCTGGTTAATCATTAGGCAGAAGGTTGATCGGCTAGAGACAGCTGGCCACGACACGGCTATGTGGCCACCCGTCAGTCCAGTCCACATTTATTGAGCTGTTGGCAAGTGTAAAGTAGCTCTGTCTGTACTAGAACCCCGGAGAGAAGAAAATGCAAAAAAAAAAGTAGACATATTCCCTGCCCCCGAGGAGCTTACAACCTGGGTAGGGTGCAGAAGATACATAGACACAGAAGCTAAGACTTAAGAACTTACAACAACAACATTCAAACAAGTGCAAAACTGTTCTAGTATTCATGAAACACAGAGCAGGAGGGAACCACCGGGGGACAGTGTACCCCGAAAGTTTTCTGATGGGTAGATGGTGGGCCGAGGGAAGGAGGGTGTGGGGCCGTGGTCTGGGGTGCCAGGGAGTGGGAGTCAGAAGAATACGGGCCGAATCTTTACCAACAACATGCTCAATGGCACTAGGAGACCCTCTTCAAGGCCCGGGGGCCACGGTTGGGGCTAGGATTTTTCCCCAGGCCTGGGTGATGGGCAGAAACAATCAGGTATTTTAGCAAGGATGAATAGCAAGTCCTGCAGTTCGGTTAAAAAAATAAATAAAAAAGACTTGTCCAAGTATAAGGTCCGGCTTGCGTGGAGGTGAATGGGTATCAAGACTAGGAGTTTAAAGAGGCCACCCATTCACCACGCGACAACAGAGTGCTGAGGTCTTAGGGCGGAGAGAGGTCTGCACAGGGAGAAGAATACTGTCCTGATCAAGGAGGGTTATGGTCCCATTGTACTCTGAGCTGGTCACACATCTGGAGGACTGTGTCCAGGGATGGCCGCCACATTTTCAGAGGGACATTGACAAACGAGTGTGTCCAAAGGTGGGTGACCAGGATGGTGAGGGGTCTGAAAACCACATCATATACGGGATGTTTGAGGGACTTGACCACACGGAGCTCGGGAAACCCTGCAAGGGGCTTTGACCAACTGGCTTGAAAGATAGGAGGCTCTTAGACGGGCTGGTGTGGACGGGGCAGGGAAGCCAGCTGAGCCTTCTCTCCATGCTCACCGGAGATGGCCCGGGCTGTGGCTGCCTGGAATCGGGAGTGTGTGACCGGCAGTTGGCGGAGAGAGGTGGAATACTGAGCCAACTGACCTCCGAGAGCCCTGCACGCCCGAGGTTCGAAGGCCCCGTGATTAAGGGCCAGGGAGGTGGAAAGGACCTTGGCTGAGGAGAGCGGCCGGAGGGGGCAGCAAACAAGGGCTGGAAGCATGGGAAGGCAGCTGCTGTGGGGGCTCGGAAGCCACGCCGCGCATGTTGGGTTTGAAGCGGCCGGCAACCCAGAGCTACTGAGAGCTTCCAAAAGCCACGCTTGAGGGAGAGGGCTTGGGTTTCTCCGAGCCCTGAAGGTGGATGCAAGACAGCGGACTGCACGCGGAGATGCAGGGGGGAGGGCTGGTGCCTGGTCTCAGAGGGCCGGCCTGGAGAGGGTGGGCCGGACCAGGGAATGGATGAAAAAGGGAGCCGAGGAGATGGGAGTGGGGAGTGGGTGGTGTGCAAGTGGCTGGGGCTCAGGGGAACCTGAAAAGGGTGTAGCTCATTTTAAGGGGTAGAGTGAGCTCAAAACCAGTGTCTTACCTTAGCATCCCTCTATACTGGCAGCTCCATCTGTTTGTCCTCATCCTGGGTCAGGGGGCTGCAGACGGACATGGAGTTGGTATGAGACATCAGCAGGATCAGGGAGAAAGGGACCCCCTAAGTACCCCCTCAGAGAGGAGCCAGGAGAAATCCCAGATACCTAGAATGAGGCGAGTCTCCATTCCCTCTGCACCGCCAAGTCCTCAATTTAAGTGGGAGAAGCCATTCCGCCATCCCCCCAACCCAATGCAAATATAGAGGGAAAGCCAGGTGCTCAGGGGATCCCAGGCCCTCCTCTGAGGCCCCTCACCTGCCCTCTGGCTGCTCCAGGGGGGATTCTGCTGCCTGAAGCTCTCGATGGCCCTGGAGGGAGGAAAGCCGGCTCCTGAGGGGCTGGGAGACCCAGGGGAAGCAAGGGTCCCTTCCCCAGCCAGCACAGCCCAGAACAGTGGCAAGAGTCTCCCCTTCTGTCCCTAGCTACCCGGGGGGGCCAGGAGAGAGCTTGCAGCCTCCCTACTGGCAAGCACCAGCACTCATGGGTCCTCATGCCCAGTACTACAGAGCCCCGTACTACATGCCCAGTACTACAGAGCACACACACACACACACGCACACACACACACACACACACACACTTTTCCTTCTCCGCTGGACCCATTTCTTTCTGCTGACCCCTGAGTCAGCCGAGTCTTCAGCAGCCTTGAAGAGGCCCTCGCCCCCCCACCTCCCTGTGCTGCGCTCAGTCAGCTCCCTTGCTGTGCCTCTAGGACAGGGGGCTGTCCCTCCACCCTGCCCCCCGCAGCTCCTCTCCCTCCGCAGCCCCTCTTCTTACCCGCCGCCTCCGCCTGTAGAACAGGAGGCCCCCGACGGCCAGCAAGACCAGGATGATGCTGGGCACCAGCAGGCGGAAGACAAAGCCAGGGACCTTTGGGTCGGAGGGTCCCACACGCTGCCTCTCATGGCCTGCATCAGTCAAAGGGACGGGGTTAAAGCGGGCCTGGGGCCTGGCTGCACCCTCACTCGCTCGTCCTCCTTCCAGTTCCGTGGGGCTCCTGCGATCCCTGGTGCTCCGCTTGCCCTCCAGCTCCCCGAGAGGCAACATGTTGCCTCCCGAGGGGCTTCTGGGGAGGCTTGGCTGAGGAGAGAGGGTGGAAAGGCTACTGAGGCCTTGTGGGCGCGGCGTCAGTGTCCTAGGGGAGCCCGGTGTCTGATGGTCTCTGGGCAGGGCCAGTGTCCTGTCTGTCTTCTCAGGTGTGTGAGTCCAGGCCTGGCCCACGGGCAGGGCAGGGTCTTCACTGGGCAAAGGAGGGCCAGCACTGTCTGCCGGTTCCTGGGCCTCGGCTGCTCCGGCTGGTGGAGAGGCTACCAAGAGGTGTTCGCTGGGCCTGGCGCTCTCTGCCTGGATGCTGCCCTCTCCCGACCTGGAGGTGGTGGACTCAGCTCCTTGAGGTGCAGGACCCTCATTGGCCTCTCCAGAGGACTCTTCCGGGGCCCAGTTGGTGCCCAACAGAGGGTCAAGAACACCGTCCATCCCAGGACTTGGGCCCCCAGCAGAGGCATGGGGCGGAAGTGAGCTGGCCGGGGGGCTGCCCTCGACGCCTGCGGTCTCTGGACTCCCCAAACTCTGGCAGGTGCTCCTGGGGGGTCGCTGCTTGGCATTGCCAGGGTCCACTGCCTGAAGGGCCTGCTCGCTGGGCAAGGAGGAGCTGCCTTCCACCCCCTCGGAGTCCGCCCAGCTCAAGGCAGCCATGGGGGCCACGGAGGGGGCGAGAGGCTGGTGAGGGGAGGCTGAGGCCAGGTCACTGCTAGGGGAGGCTTTGGGGTATAGGCAGTTGCAATCAGGCTTGGTCACCACATCTGAAAGAACCACAGAGAGAGAGGGGGAGAGAGAAAGACAGGCCAGCATCTAGCACAGCTTTCCTAGAGGGGCCGAGGAAACGGGGGTCTGGGCCTGGGGGTCCCCACACCCGCTAACTCGGCCTTGGGGCCAAGGAGAGGACTATGGGATGGAGTGGATGCACGACTCCATCTGGGGGCGGAAGGAGTAAGGGGTCTCGGGGGTCAAGGCAGGGAGAGGGTTTGGTACACAGCCTGGGGGTAGGGTCAGGGAAGACAAGAGAACCCACAGCCCCTGCTAGAGTTCCGGCCAGCCAGATGCCATGCCAGGGTGCCAGCGGCCAGAGCCTCACGCTTGAGAAGGGGCCTCCAGGACTCACACAAGACCCCCTCCGGCCCAGACACCATGCGGGATGGAAAGCAGAGAGTTTCATGCACAGCCAGGGACCACACGGCCACACAGCCACGGTCAAGAACCTGCTGGAGCTAGAACATGGCCTTGGCTTGAGGCCTTGGTCTGGAAGCAACGGGATAGGACTTGGCCACCAGCAGGTGGCCGGGCCTTGCGGGAGCCGTAGGGGGACACGTGTGGCACAGGACGTGTGGCACAGGACGCAGAGACGAGGACACGCGGGACACTCAGGTATGCAGCTGAGCCAGCACTGGTAGAGTTTGAATGATGCTCAGACTTCAACTCCTGCCTGTGTCCCTTGAGGGGACACACTCCAGGCATCCTGGGGACTTTCGGAGCCAGGCTATCCTGATGCACAGCAGGGCTGCTGGGGCGTGGGCCCTGGCCCCTACATCGGGCCCTCCACACGTTCAGCCAGATGGCACCCGTGGGAAAAGCCTCCCGGCCTCAGGCTTCTCCGAGAGGGCGCTGTGCCCCTCCCTGATCTCTCAGCCAGCAGTGTGACCTTGGTGCCTTGGCATGCAGACACATGTGGGTGGACATGCACATCCATGCCAGAGGAGACATGTGCCCAGCAAGGCCCAGAGGTACATGAAGCCACATATGTACATGACACAAGCACGTCTACACACACAGGAGCACGAGTAGCAGCACGAGTAGTCCCTCCCCTCCCCTCGCCGCCCCCAGACCCACCCCTGCCCCTGACAGCCCGGCCCCTTCCTCCCTCCTTCCGGGATCTATTGCTGGCCCTTCGGACTTACCTTGGCCGGAGCACTTGGCAAAGCTGTCCTTGCAGTCCTTGCTGAACACGCTCCCGTTGTCTTGAAGGAGTTGCTTTGTTTCATTAAAGACATTCTTGATCTTCTCCAGCAACTGAAGGGGCGTCTCATTGAAGGTGCGGACGCAGGCCTGCCAAGAGAGCGGGGAGAGAGGCCCTGTGCTCAGTCGGACTTTGGGCCCCACCTCCCCACCCCACTGCCAAACTCTCCATCTTCTTTCTCCCATCCGGTGCTCCTTCCTTGTCTGAGAGTTTTGCTGCTGCTCCGCCCTGAGACTGGGGAGGCCCTCAGACACACAGTTGCAGTGTACTGCGTGTGCTGCCATGCGGGTGGGGATTGGCAGGGAGTCACACAGGGAGCGAGCATGGGGAGGGGATCCCTGGAGGAGCCCTCGGAGGGTGGGTCCATCAGGGTCACTTGCACGGCCCCCCACTGTTCCAAGTGTGAGTGCTCGGAGGGTGTATAACCAGGGAGTAAGCAGCCCCCGGCTCTAGGGAGAATGTCCCCAGGACCTGGCTGAAGAGAAGCAGCAGTGGCTCGGGCGTCAGGTGGGCGGTGGTGAGTGGAGAGAGTGCCCGGGTGGAGGGCACAGACAGGCTGTGCTGGTCTACAGCGTGACTGCCTACGGGGACCGTGTGAGAGACCTGTTTTGAGAATGATGATGGCGGCTTACGTACAAGTGTGCTTGATGCCATGGATGTATGTTTGGATTGTGATAGGAGCTGTGAGAGCCCCCAATAAAATGGTTTAATCTAGAGAAAAGGAACTCCCCGCCTTATCCATACCCACTGCCCTCAAGTCGATTCTGACCCACAGTGACCCCAGGTAAGGTTTCTGAGATGGTGAATCTTACCATCAGCCTCGTCTTTCTCCTGCAAAGCAGCTGGCGGGTTTGAACTACCGGCTTTGCAGTCAGCAGCCCAGTGCCTACCCCAGAGCCACCAGGGCTTCTTACTCTTATCCAAAGACACAGACCCTGGGGGGCTGCCAAGGCAGCAGCAAGCCTTGGGCTTTAGGAAGCTTCTCCTCTTGGTGTGGAGAGGGACATAGGCCCTTCTCTGGCTCTGTGCGGCCTGGGCCCCTCCATCCACTGAAGGCCTGAACATCTTCCCCCACCTGGTTCCCCTCCCTCTCAGACCCCCATACCAGACCCTTCTCAACCTGGCTCCCGCTGTTCTTGTTAGGGGCCATGGAGTTGGTTGCGACCCACAACAGAGCAAACACTGGCCCAGACCTGAGCCGTCCTCACACATGCTCCTGTGCCCCAGCCCATGGCTACAGCCTCGGTGTCAATCCTTATCCTTTACCAAACCCGACGCCCTTCTCCGAGGCCTGGTCTCTCCTGACAACGCGTTCAAAGTATGTGCTTTCCTCTAAGGAGCACTCTGGCTGAACTTCTTCCAAGAGAGACTGGTCTGTCCTTTCAGCGTCCGTGGTACTTTCAATACTGACCCTTACGTGCCCGCATTCCTGGGGCTCGGGCCTGGGCCTGCCTCTCCTCTCACACATGCCGACCATTTCAGGACTTCCCAGTAACAAGGAGTTCCTGAAATGGAGCCAGGCTGGGCAGAGCTATGGGCCTGACTACATTGCCATGTACCAACCCCCTCCCCCTACTGAACGCCCACTCGGGCCTGTGTATAAAACAGAAATTAAAAAAATGACCCATCGGTGGCCAACTCCACCTCATGGCCACCCCACGGGCGCCAGGGGAGAACTAGGCTCCAGTGGATTTTCAATGGTTGGAGGTTTAGAGCTGGGTCTCCAGGCCTTTCTTCTGCGCACGACAGGACTTCAGTGAACGGAATGCTAACCAGACTAGTGGATGAATGAGTGAATGAGTGAACAGGATTCCAGGGCCGGCACTCACCAGCTATGGAGCGCTGGCTGAATGCACCATCTGGTTGGAGCTAACATCCTCACCTGTAAAATCGAGATAGCCCTTCCTGCCAGCCACTCCCCTGAAGTTGTTGTAGGAAAGAGGTCCACTGGCTCTCTCTCCTTCTCTCTCCTCCCTTCATAAACCTCCGTCCCCCGACACCTCCCTGCATCCCTCACAGAGGAAGCGGGACCCTGCAGTCCAAAGCACCCCGTGCTCCATGACAGCGGTGAGATGCCCTCCAGAGCATCCGGGTCTCCTCAGCTCCAAGGGGTCCCTCGCTCTTCGACTCTGCCCCTCACCATCCAGGGTCAACCCAAGCGGGATCTGAGGGCCACTTATCAGCATCGCTCGGGTGGGGCTACTTGGCAGAATGCATATTCCTGGGCGCCCCCTCAGACCCTGTGAGTCAGACTCTTGCGGGAGTAGCCTGGGACTCTGCATTTCAAACAAGCTCCCCGAGCGATACCTACAACCCTCAAAGTCGGAGAGCCACACATGGAAAACCTTGCCTGCAACAAAAAGTTCCCGGAGTCTGTGTCTGCCGCCCGCCCACCCCACCCGCCCTTCCTCCACGGCGGTGTCTCCCTTCTTCTCCGTTCCCTCTGATCTGGCCCTGGCCTTCGGCAGCCACATCTGTCGGAGAGTTTGTGGCCCTTATCGGCTTGGTTTTGCAACACTATTTGATAAAGCTGATAAAGCTACTTCCTCTATCTTGAAGCACTCTTTCTTGGGTCCAGTGATGCCCCTTGATCCCCCTGGCTTTCCTCCCACTTAAGGCTGCCCCTCTTCTGTCTGACTCTAAATGCGTGGGTGCCTCTGTGCTCAGCCTGCGATTCATTCTCTTCTCCCAGTACAGTCCCGAGGCTGCACAGACGACTCCGATGCTGCTGATCCTTCGATCCTTGTCTGTCTGTCTATCATCGCTAGCTATCATCTCTACTTATCTATAGCTCAAGACTTCACACTTGATAAAGTGGCTGCGTCGATGGGCCCAAACATAAGAGCAATTGTGCAGACGGCAGTGTTTCCTTCAGTTGTACACAGGGTCGCTCTGAGTCAGAACGCACTGCACAGCACACAACAACAATAAGATGTCTATCCAGCGGCCTGCTCAAAATCTCTCTTTGGTCACTTCCACACACCTCAAGATCAGGATCCCCAAACGGAGCTCCTGCTCAGGCCCCAGACCTGCTCCACCATCTGTTCCGCCCCTAACAGCAACAATGAGACATCCGGAGGCTCAAGAACGCACCCTGGGACTCGTCCCTGGCCCTTTCCTCAGCTCCTCCCAGCAGCCGCGTGAACCAAGTCTTGCTGGGCCTCTGCCTCCAAACGCGGTGAGAACAGGACCCCCCGCCTCCACCTTCACCGCACCACCTGGCCCACGGCAAGCTATCTCTTTGCCTTCATGTGCACCCCTACGGTCCATCCTCTTCTCAGCAACCAGGAGGCCTTACGATGCCTGAGTCAGGTTAGGCCACTTGCCTGCTCTCAAGGGCTTCCTTTGCCAGTAAAACCAAGTTCCCAAGCCCCAAGGAGATAGCTTCTGCCTCCTCTGTCCTTTCCCTTCCACGTCCCACGCCCAGCGTGCTCACTGTCCATGGGGTCTTGGGGTGTGCACATCCCTCTCCCCTGGAGGTTTGTGCCTCCTGTCCCCTGTGCTGGGACACTCCTCAGCTGATGGCTTGCGACCTCTTACTCAGCTTTGGATCTCAAGTGAACACGTTCCTGACTCAGAACCTGCCTCTTCTTCCCTGTTCCCGCCCCATTCCAACAAGAGACATCCCGCCCCCCGCATTTCTTTCTCTGGGGCTTGTGCCCACTGCCTACTATCTTGTCGACTCAGGTCTTTGTCTCCCTGGCTTCTTCTTTTCCAACACCACTGTTGCCGTCCTACCCTCCACATAGTTGACTGACACACATTGTTACCTGTCTCACACTCTCCACTACACCTCCAGATCTGAGTTCCATGAATGTCGTGGCTTTTTTGTCTGTTTCCTAGTGCCTAGAACTGTGCCTACTATCCAGTAAGCCCTCAACAGCTAGTTGTTATTAAAAGAAGATCATTATGCTTGTAATCATATCTATTTGTGACATTGTTTGTTTACTGGCTGCTGAACTCATTTGAAGGAGACAATGGTGGTGCAATGGGTAGGCATTGGCACTATGGGTTATGCAAGGTAGGCAGTTCAAACCGACCGGCTGCTCCTTGAGAGAAAGATGAGGCTCTCTGTTCCTCTAAAGGTGTGCAGTCTTAGAAACCCTCAATAGGGTCTTAACGAGTTGGAGTGGACTCGGTGGCAGTGGCTGAGTCTGGCTTTTGGAGCCTCCTGTGATGAGGAGACCGAAGAGAGCAGGCACCATGGATCTCTTGTTCAGGGTGACACAGTCAAAGCCAAGACCGCATCTCCTGAATAATGAGTCCTCAGTAGAGGTTTGTGGGATTGAGGAATGGATTCCAGAGTGAACGAATGATGCCGGGAAGCACTGATACACTCAGTCAGTGCTCATGGGTACAATGCCAGTGAAGGCCAAGGCCAGGTGCCTAGGGGTGAGTGATCCCCCCGCTACTTGTGCTCCCCACGGCCACCCTCCGCCTTCACTCAGAGTAGGCAGTTCCAGGACCGTCCTACCTTGCCTTGCTCTTCATGATCCGTGGTGAAACAGTGCTTCAGCCTCAGAGAGAGTTCTTGGAGCTGCACGGTGGCATTGGCGTTGGGGGTGTTGTCTTTGAAACGCAAGGTGTCCTCCAGTATGTCTTGCACCAGGAGAAAGGCCTTCTTAAGGAAGCACACAGGGTCATTCTGGGGAAAGAGAGAGGAGAGAGAACATGTCATGTAGTCTGACTGTGCACCCCGGGGAAGTGGGCTCTGGGCTGAATAACCTCCCTCACACACCCCTGCCTCACACTCCAGGGGCTGCAACTCCCCCCTGGGGCAAGGGCACCATGCTGTTCTCAGCTGCTCTTTCAGGCTTGCTCTTTGAGGTCTGCCACTCCCGGGAGTTGGGGCCGAGAGAAGGAGATGTGGCTCCTGATCAGTGAGACTTGTGGATTTCTGGGAGTGGGGCATTCATCCGGATAGAGGCACCCTAGGAGGACGGGTTCTGGAGAATGCCTCTATCTCTTTTCCTCTCTCTTCTCCCCTCCTTCCCTCTCTGCATGGCTTTATGAAAGTCCTGCCCCATGAATCCCTCTAGCTCTCCAGCACACAGAGGTTCCAGAGACTCCTCATGGTGCAGAGAAGTGGCTCAGTATTCCATGCATCCATTCACTCCCCACCTGGGCCTTTAGCTGCGTGAACAAGAAGCCCAATGGGGCAGGTGCTAGAGATAGCGTTCAGGCAGAGTATTGGTCTGCAAAGAGACCACCATCTCTTCAGGGAGACAGTGCAAACCCTCATTGTGGTTGGCTGTGGCCTGGGTTCTAACAGAGGTGTGTCTGGGTGGGCCTGTGGAAACTCAGATGAGCATGACCTCCGGTGAAGCGGCGGGGCAACTGGAAGGGTTTGAACAAAGACTTGGAGGCAGAAAGTTGGCAAGGAATAGGGGGCAAAGGGTGAGCAGGTTGTGCTGTGGGGATGGGAGTTCATAACTGTCTGGCTAAGCAACCTGTGCTTTCTTTTGCCATGAAGGGGGCCATCCACACCTTTGGGGGAAGGAAGTGAGGGCCACAGGTTGGGGTTTCAGGAAGCTCCTTCTAGTGGCGGTATGCAGGTGCCACTGGAAGTGGGTGGCCAGTTCCAGGGCTCTCGAAATGACCCAAACCACCCCCAAGTGAGCAGTGTCACGTGGGAAGGGCTGGATGGGTTCCCTGGCATCGGGAGGATGGAGGTGATATCCCAGAGGGAAGCGGGTGACTGGGAAGCATAGGTTTGCCTGAGGCCCTGGAACCTGCGTCCAGCACCACTGGCCAGCTTCCTTAGCCTCTCAGAGGGCGACAGACCAGCAACCTTCCTATGCCGCATCATGCTCTTGGCAGAATGAAGCTAGAAAGGGGCCTGGCCCAGAGAAAGCCTGTGATGTGTGAAGTGTGAGAAAAGAGAAGCAGGGGCATTGAATCCTGGACCCAAACAGGCCCTGGCACCCCACAATGAGAACTTCGCGCACACACACACACCCCCCTGCCCAGTTCTAGGCCTTTCCACCACGTTCTCGCGTCCACATGCACTGTCATGTGGGACTCACCAACTGGTCCCGGTCTACAAACTCAAAGGCAATTTGGCAGGATGTCTGCATCTGACTGTCAATCTGTAAGAGAGAGCAGGCCGGTGGGGTCAGGGTGGCTGAGGTGTCCCCGAGCCTGCCTCCTAACAAGGATTGGAGTTTGGGGGAGTGGATCGAGGCTTGAATGACTTTACTTCTCCCCACCACCCCTGGAAATATACAGCCAAGGCAGGGGGAGGGCTGTAGAAGACGAGACATTTCCTCCCTCCACCTCCCATGCCGGCTTGTTATAAGGAAGGATTATCTAAGCGTGTCCAGAACAAAATCTTCCTCTGAGAAGCACTGAGATCCCTGTCATGACAGGAATTCAAGTAGAGGATGGATCAGTTCTGGGGACCCAGGAGCTACAGAGTCTGGTGCTTGATGCTCTCCAGCTCACCCATCCCCACCCCGAACCCCGGTGCAGTGGCTCTTGGCTGTAAATTTAGAGAACACTCTGGGTGCCTACGGCCGTGACACCCAGGGAGAGTGGTACAGGGAGTGCAGGGTGGGGAGGCCACGTGGGGGGTCCAGCTGGCCCTGGAGCTGGCCTCAGCCCATGCTGCCCCTCCCTGCTTGACTGGCCAGAGGGATGGTATATTGCCGTCTGAGCAGGACAGCAGTCGAGACATTCAACTGATTCCGCCTGACTGGACCGTGCTTGGAAAGACTCCGTGGGCCCTAGCGGAATGGGCACCAACCCCTTCGTGGCTTGGATGAGCAAGCCATTCCAGCCCTGGGGCTTGGGCATGGCAAGGGCCAAGGAATCAGAGGTGGAGAGCTGGGCGCTTCCCCTGCAGATCTGGTCCAGGGCCTGGCTCCTGACCATCAGCACAGCTGGCGTCCCAGTCCCGGGGCTGGAGGACTGTGACGCACTCAGGTGCCCCGCAGGCTCCCTGGAGGAGGCCGCAGCTCGCTGAGGGACAGCAAGCCTCCGAGTCCTGCTCAGAATTTGTGGATGATATTCCTGGGCAGCCGTGAACACAGGCCACCGGCTGAAAGGCCATCCAGGAAGGTAGGGAGGGTTTCGGAAGTGACGGAGCACCGATGGAACTGGGTGGGAGCAACAGGTACGATTACGCAGCCTGATTTCTCCATCGTCGTTGGCAACACCTCTCTTTGACCCTGCTCCCTGCCTCAGTTTTGCCGGGGGGAGGAAAGGGGAAGTCGATACGGTGGCTCTCTCACCAGGTGCTGCAGGATCGTCAGGTGGCCGTTGGTAATCATGTCTTTGCAGTAGCCGGGCACCTTCTCGGGAACACTCCTGCTCACCAGGAGGCTGGCCAACAGCAGCCAGGGGCCCAGCCATGCCTGGGACAGAGAAGGCGTCATTTCTTCCCAGCTCACCAGCCCCCCACCCCCACCCCCCGACAAGGGCTCCCAGGCCCCGCGGAGGGCAGCAAAACACAAACCTCAACCCCATAATCCTACATAACCGACTCCTGCCTCTAGCCAGTCGTGACCCTGGAACCCAGCTTCTCTCGGATTTCCTAACAGCATTGGCACAACCTTGCAAACCACCCAAATGCCCCCTTCTCTGAGGAGCCGTCCCGGATTCACCCGGGTCAAGCCTGACTCCAATGAATTTCTGATGACAACGTGGGTGGTGGGCCCACCAGTCCAACTCCCTCGGCGCACAGGAAAATCCCTGAAGACAGGACTGGCATCTGCCAGTCATTCTGTCCCTGCGACGGCAAACACCGAGCCACTCTGGGCCACTTTCATGCACCAACTTCCAGACTGCTGGCCGGAGACCTTCTTCCTGGGCACACTCCTTCCTCCCCCCTGGTTTCACACAGGCCTGGCTGTATCCGTGGCCAAACATAGTTCCCTGGGGGACCCTTCCCTAGCCGGAGACCTCTTAGAGCTCTGGGTGTGAGTTTCAAGGAGACCCACGGAATGATTACAGGTTCCAAGGCCGGGGCTTCGCCAGCCCTGACAGGAACCTGCCTCTCGGAGCTCCAGCAAGTTCTGCATGCAGCCTGCTCAGCTCTTACCATAGTGGGGGCATTTTCTGACAGCTCATCCCCTCTTTTAGCATCCACCTGACCCTGTTGCTGTTCACCTCCAGAGTGAGGGGCCTCATTCCTGACCCTTTGCCATGCCATGCCCCCGTCCTCATGAAGGGCCCCTATCCCTGGGCCCCAGCGCTCCCTTTCTCTAGACAGAGGCTGCCAGGTTCCAGGGCTTTCCTTCCCCAGGTTCAGGTCGGCCCCTGGGTGCTTCTGAGCCTGCTGTGCATGCCCCCAGATGAAGGGAAGTGCTGGGAGGGTGGGGTGAGAGCTGGCACCTTCCAGCCTCTGGGATCTGGGCTCAGTCCCAGTAATCCAGACAATGAGACAAATATGGCAAATAAACAGCACATTGGAAAAACTCAAAGAAGCCATGCAGCAGCCTACAACAACATGCTTATTTACATACAATGAGAAGTCCAAGTGCGTGTAGACGCCTACCCTTGAGGAAGTGCCTCTTTGGCTGCACAGCCAGGGAGGGAGCAAGAAGAAGCCTCAGCAAGGCCTTGAAGGATGGAGAGCAGTTGGAGGCAGAGAGAAAGAGGGCAGGGGCTGAAGGGAAGCGGCCTGGGATGGCCCAGTGCTATTCAACACAGGATCCGAGCAGGTCCCCCCGGGCCTGAGGAAGGGGAAGGTGGATGTGGGGGGTGGGGGGTGGAGTGGTTATGCAGGGTGGTGGAGGAGGCAGTCCTGGGTGGGAATGGCCAGGTGCCTCAGGTCCAGGGCCCATTGCAGGAAACTGGGTCATGCCAAAGGTGTGCCTCTCCTCTAAACTCGATGCCACGGAGCCTCTGAGGCCCCAGGCGTAAAGGGGATGGGAGGAAGGGGGTGGGGTGCCAAGGAAGACCATCCAACCACAGCCACTGCAAGATACTGGCAACTGAGGCCAGCCAGGGGAGGGCAGTGCTAAGCCGCTGGGCTGCGAGTGACTTTCAGGCAATGTTCAAAGAGCACTCAGCCACCCCATGGCAGGCTGACGATGGGGGGTGGGTAGGGGGAGCTGACCCTGGCTCTGGGAGCCCGGTTCTGCCTCCGAGGGAGAGCTGCGTAGCCACCCAAAGGTGAAGGCACTAACTTGCGTCTGGCTGGGCTGGCTGCTCTCCGGTCCTCCCTTCCCCCCTACTCACCAGCCTCTGCCTCTGTGGGGCAGCCTCAGGACCGTGTCCCTGCTGCCGGCTGAGGGGGATGCTGGGAGGTGGCAGGCCAGCCTCTAGCCCATCGACACTATCCACAGGTCTCTGGAGAGACTGGCATGACCAGGCCCTCAGACCGTGCCTGCCTGAAGCCAGCAGGCCCCTTCCACTCCTCCTCGGGATGTCAGTTCAGCCTTCCTTGTGGGGCTCCGCGGTCTTCCCTGGTCCCTTGCCCATCCCCTCACCCTGCCCCCTTTCCCTTCTCAGCCTCATCTCCTCTCTTTCTGTTGGACTCTGCCTCTCCCGTGGCTCTGTCCTTCCCTCTCCCTCTGTCTGCAACCCCTTCCCCCATCTCCAAACATTTTTCTGCTCCCTGCCTGCCAGGTTCCGCCTCCCATCCACTCCACAGAGCCTCGGAAGCAGACCCACTGGGAGGCCACTTACTGTTCATTAACAGTGTCACACGCACCTTCTGAGAGCTGCCTGCTGGGGGTGGGGGGGTGGTGCACCCCCATTCAGCCCTGAGCCGCCCCTCCTCTGTCTCAGCCTCTGCAGCACCAAACCTTCCTTCCACTTTCCTCCCTCCTCCCTCCCTCCAAATGACATTTTGCACGCAAACATTCCAGGACTAGTGCCTCCACAGCCAGGGATCAAATCGGCTCCGAGGCCCGGTTCCCCTAACGCAGGCTTGGGGACGTCCCCATCGGTTGCCTGTGGGTTGGAACAAGTAGTGGCTTGCCTGCCTCCTTCTCTCCTGCCAGCAGGTTGCTGGGCCTGACACTGTCGGAACCCCGTGGTCCCCGAACTTCCCCACACCCCTCCGGGATCTAGAAGCCAGTGTGTGGCAGGGGCGAAGGTGGCCAGCGGGGAAGGCATGAGACCCACACCGGCAGCACAGCCACGCTGGTCCCTTAGCAGTTGGCTGGTCAAAAGGTCCAGAGGCCAGTGGAGGCAGGGGCACCCTGGCTCACAGAACCTCTGCCGCGCCAGGGGACCCCTCTCTGCTGCCCGTAGGGAGCTCGGCGTCACTCGTCGCCTTGCAGCAGGGCGAGCAGCCAGACCCGTGCCCGGGAAACACCGCATCCGCGGGCGCAGCTGCAGGGCCGACCCAGCGCTGAGCGCCGGGGCCTCCGGGGGCAGCACCGCGCGCAAAGGCGGGAAGGCAGCCGCAAGCCTCGGGCGGC